GCCCGGCCCGCGCGGCCCGCCTGGAACTAAGGGCCCCGAAGGCCACCCTCGGCGGCCCAGGCGCGCGCGCGGCCGATCACCGCCAGGCCCGGCCTGGCAGAGACGGGCTTTTCACGGCAGGGGCAGGAAGGGAGCCGGGGTCCCCGCAGGGAGAGAGCCGGTCGTGGCCACCGAGCCTCGGTTTCTCCGCGGAGAACGCCGGGAGCCTCAGAGCCGGACGCAACCGCATGGGGCGGGCGCATGCGCAGCAGGGCAGGCCACGCCCAGCCGCGCACTGGGGGCGGGGCTTGCGTGGGCCCAGCCCCTTCGCGCCGCTTCTTAAAGAGCCCGCGTCCTGTGATGGACGTCTTGGAGCTGCGTGAATGCGTTGGGTTCGAAGTCCCACAGACTTCCTGTTGTTACTCGGGGACATCTGGTAAATTCCTTTCCTAACTGCTAACGCAGCCTGGGACCCTGCCCCTGACGGCCTCATGGAGGCCAGAGGAAGAGTTGAGGAAGAGGCCAGGGTGTTAGATCATCAGGAATCCTCACTAACCCTGTGTCCTGGCTGTCAGCCAGGAGGCCTGTCCTTCACATCCCTCTTCCAGGAAATGCTGCCTAGGACATTAGGGAAGGACTATATGAAGTGGGTTTTGAAGGATGAACAGGAGTTTACTAAACCTCAAAGCCTCAAATACCCTACTAAACACTTGTGCCCAGCTCTATGCTGGTCGATGCTGGGATATGAGAGGCCTCATCTCAGGCGAACCCCAATCTGGACCAGCGTCATGGCAGAGGCTGTGGGGAATAGTGTCTCTGCCTAGAGGGAGGGCCTGAGGGGAGGATACTTGGGTGGGGAGCGTGTTCTAGGCAGGGGGTGGCACAAGCAAAGGCTGTGTCGTGTCCGGGGCTTCCAAGCCCAGCTACCACTGGCAGAAGCTGGCAGGAGACACTTGGTCCTGGCTTTAGCTGAATGGCCTGGGACCGCCCCTTGCTCCAGGGGCAGTGCCCCCCCCCGCGTCCCCCAGTGCCTTCACAAGCCCACCCCCACGGGCTGGCAGGGAAACTGGGGCACCAGCGGAAGGGCTGCCCCCTCAGCCCCTGCCTGCCAGGACTTCTGGCCTCAGCTTCCAGCTGGTGCCATCCAGACTGGTCCCGGGACATAGACCAGACAGGGCAGGAAACTCCCCACCCGGTTCTCACTGAAAGTGAGGAAGCAGGTGGCCCCCGCTGGAAGCCAGTGCGTTAGGTGGCAGGAAGCCCTCTCTGAGCCTCCTTCCTGCCTGGGAAAGGGACCCGCAGTGCCTGGCCTGCGTTGGGGGGTGCCCTGCGTGTCACTCCAGCTTATTAAACCTGCGTCACCCCCATCTGATAGCTGAGGACACAGAGACTTGGCCAAGTCACCAGCTGGGGGCTGCACACCCCCAGGGTGCCCCTTGTCGCCCTGGCCCTGGCCAGAGGCCACCTTGCCCACTGGGATAAGGCCAGCTGCTTGCCACCGTCTTCCCGCCTCCTCGGCCCACTGGCGCCTGGGCATGAAAGGGGCCCTGTTTCTCCAGGGAATTAGCAGTTCTGGGCTCCAGCAAGGCAGCCAAGAGTGGCCCATTCATCCCTCGCCGGAGGGAGGAGAGAGGTGGTACCCTGTCCCTGCTCTGCCCCCGGGAGAGGCAGGGGGACCTCCGGATCATCCAGGAGTAGCTCTCCTGGTCCACTGGGGAGACCTTGTCACTAAGAAACCAAATAATTTGCCCAAAGTGGGAGCACTGGGGAGGCTGAGGCAAGAGGATCTCTACAAGTTTGAGGCCAGCCTGGGCTACACAGTGAGACCCTGTGTCAAAAAGAAAAAAATATCATTTCCCTGACCTCCCCTGGGGAGACCAGCATGACCCTGAGCCCCTGTTCTGGTCTGATTTCTGCCTACTTCAGAGGAGGCATCGAAGGCACAGAGAGGGTCGAAGATTTGCCAGAGTCACACGAATGTTTAGTTCTACAAGGACAATTTCCGTCCCGTGTCAATCACCTCTGGGCGGCAGCCCCCACCACTGAGGACATGGGCCCACTGTCTGCGAGCCCAGCGTCGCAGAGCAGCACAGGGAGAGGGGCCTCAGTCTGTGCCCTGGGGAGGGAAGAGGTGGCTGACCCAGGCTTGGCCCAGAGTGTCTTTGGGGAGGGTGCGGTGGGATCGGGCAGGACCGGCGTGCTGTTCCCGCCAAGCGTCAAGCCCCGCTCCCTGACCTCCTGTCCAGACCAGCGGGGTCACGCTGGCGGTGGCCGAGAGAACTGGGGAGGCGGGACGTGAAGGGACCGAGCCAGGCGTGTGGCAGGGTGGGACAGTACCTGGGGGGCCGTGTCGGGTGTGGGGTGTGGGTGACACACGGCCTGTAGGTGTGCCCGCGAGCGTGAACAGCACGGTGTGGGCTGAGTGTGAAGGGACTCGGTGCAGCCAGGCTCACAGCTGTGACTTGTGCGTGCCCCGGGGGCAGTGCTCGGGCAGAGGCGGTCCACGGCTGCGTACGGCTGTGTGCGGGTGAGGTCACATTGGTGGGACTGACTGTGGGGGCTGGTGGGGGGTTGCCTTCTCCATGTGACACCTTGGGTGGGTTCTGAGGCACGCTGGGGGACGCTGCTCGGGACCCTGCTCCCCAGAGGGTCTGCCCCTCTCCACCCCGCCCCCACCCCGGCCTGGCAGCAAACCCTGGCCCAGGCCCCAGTGGGGAGCACAGGGAAGGCACTCGGGCTGGGGGTGGCCCGGTCCCAGGCAGGCCTATAAATAGCTCTTTGAGCCCCGCGGATTCCCAGGCAAGGTTGCTGTATTCAAGGCCCCGGCAACGGCCTCCCTGGGCCCCGGGCCAGCCCCTCCCAGTGCAACCTTGGCATGGGCCTGAGCCCTGGGAGGCGGGGATGAGGAGGGGAGCGTGCGGTGGGGGTGGCCTGCAACTCTGCAGCCAGAGACCTTGGCCCCCACCTGGTCCCCACCTCAGCTGCGACCCTCAGGCGGGCAGGTGACCCCCATCTCCCCAGCCTCAGTTTACCCAGCAACCTCTAAAGCAGGCATCTCTGCATAGCAGTGCCCGCATGAGGGTTTGCTGCCTGTCCATTCTCCTAGCCACTGGTGACGCAGGGAGCAGCACCTAGTGCCCGCATCAGTGGGGAAACGGAGGCCCAGGAACACGTGGCAGTGCATCGGGATACAGAGCGGGGAGTACGATCCCCACGGGTGCTGAGCTGCTCGCTGGGTTCCCACTCACGCGCATCACCGACGCGTGCTCCACCACGACCCCCGCCCTCCCTCCGCCTCCGGACTGGTGACACGGCGGACACCCCAGCCGCCCACACCAGCCACGGCCCCAAACCTCCGGCACTGCCGGTGACACAGCGTGGACAGTGGGTGTGGGTCCCACCGTGTCTCGTTCACCCCAGGCTTGGCGCTTGCTCTCCTGAGCTCCTCCCCCAGCTCCCACGCAGTCTGCCCGTCTGCCCGTCTGTCTGTCTCCCTGTGTGTCTCTCTCTTTCTCAGGTCTCACTATGGAGCCTAGGCTGGCCTGGCCTCAGGCTTTCTGCAGTCCTGCTTTAGCCTCCCGCCCAGCTCTTTTTTTTCCCCTGCCCCCCATTTTTGTTTTTGCAGACCTGGGGATGAAACTCTGGACCTTGCACTTGCTTGACAAGCGCCGTCCCCGCCCCTGAGCCATATCCCCAGCCATTTATTTGATTTTGAAACAGGGTCTCACTAAGTCACTGAATTCCCCAGCCTAGGCTCAAACTTGTGATCCTCCTGCCTCAGCCTCCAGTGTGGCAGGGATCACGAGCACACACCCACCCCTTGATGATCTAAGGGAACTGCCTGGCCTCTCCCACCCTGTTTGTGTGTCTTCCCACCAGACAGAGACCTGCCTCAGAGACACTCAAAGGAAGAGGGGGTGGTTTCCTTTTTCTTTTTGATGCTGGTGGTGGGGCCCAAGCATCACGCATGCTGAACACACAGTCTCACCGAGCTCCGCCCACACCCCCAAACTTACCATTTTAAAGTGTGCGACGGAGGGGCTAGAGTACTTTTACATTACTATGCACCCGCCACCTCTGTCTGGTTTAGCACTGTGCCTTTGCCGGGAAAGGAAGAGGGTACCCAGGGACCCGGCCCTCCTCAGCCCCGCCCCCACCCCAGCAGCCGAGGATCTGTTTCTTATCTCTGGATTAGACTGTGCTTGTCTCAGTATCAAGTCTTCAAGTCCTTTTGTGTCACGGGTCAGACCTGTGTTCTTTCATATAGCTGAGTAATATTCCACTGTACAGATCCAGGCTTTTCTATTCATGTATGTATATATGTTTTTGAAAAAGGGTGTTTCTATGTGGTCCAGCCTGGCCTTGAACTCACTATGTAGACAGGCTGGCCTGAAACTCACAGCAACCCTCCTGCCTCAGCTTCCCAAGTGCTGGGACAGCAGGCGTGCACCACCACACCCAGCATTGCTCAGGCTTTTGAAGACCATGCTGGCTGGTCAAGGTGGTGCACGCCTTTTACCCCAGCAATTCAGGAGGCTGAGCCAGGAGGATCACAAATGTGAGTTCAGCATGGACAGTTTAGCAAGACCCTGTCTCAAAATAAAAAGTAAAGCAGGCTGGGGGTGCAGCTGCATGGTGGAGCACCCACGGCGGGTCTCCGGTCCATGGCATGCACATGCCCTCCCCAGGGCAAAGCTATCCCTGTGCTGACCCCAGTACCCAGCCCACAGGGCGCGCCAAGGGTACTGCCTGGACACAGGGAGGAATGAATGAACGAATGGAGTCATCTGGTTGCCACCGCTGGGCACAAAGCGGGGTGCCACCCACGCTCGGACCTTGCTGTGTGATCAAGTGGCCTTTCTGTCCTTTATTGGTTTGGGGGGTTTTTTTTTGGTACCAGGAATCGAACTCACAACCTCATGCTTGCTGGGCAGGCACTTATGCCACTAAGCTATCTCTCTGGCCCTCTGCCCTTTCTGAGCCTGTTTTTTCTCTGTAAAAGAGCAGTCATTGTGGCCACAGCTGCTTCTAGCCTGAGCCCTGGAGAGTCCTTCGGGACGAGGTTCAAATCCCAGCTCTTCCCCCCTCTCCGCATGACCTTGGGAAGCAACTTTGCCTCCACAGCCTCAGTTTCCCCACCTGTAAAATGGAGCAACCTCCCTCGTGGACGCTCTTACGGGCGTTTAACGGGGTCTCTGTCGCAAAGAGAAGGGGGAAGCCGGGGAAGGAGGGGAACCCCGGGCAGAGGCTCGCAGGAGGAGGGCGGTGGGGTCTGGGCGGGGAGCCCCCGGATCGCGCGAGCCGCCGCTGGAGCGCATGCGCAGAGCGGCCCGCGGCCCCTTTATAAGCGCGAGGCGGCGCCGGGCGAGCGGAGCGCGGGGCGCAGGCAGGAGCGGCGCGGAGCAGCGGCCGCGTCCTTTGTGCGGCGCCGCCCGAGATGCGCCCGAGCTAGGAGTCAGGTGTGGGGGGCTCCGTCGTGGGCGGGGGCCGCGCTGGGGGAGGAGGTCTGGGGGTCAGAGGCAGGCTCTGAGTTTGGGGAGGGGGCCTGGGACGTGGGCTGAGGGCTGCGGGCGAAGCCCCCCAAGATGGGGAGGGGCGTGGGGGAGGGGAGCCCCGCTTTGGGGAGGGGGCGCAGATGGGGAGGGGGCGCGGGGCTGTGGAGGGGAGACGCGCTTGGGGGGCACACCCTCACAGTGGGGAGAGGGTGAGGCTGGCGGTGGGTCTTAGGATTAGGGAGGAGGCATGGGGAAGCAGGGCCAGGGGAAGGGCACCCCAAGTTTGGAGAGAAGAGGAGGACCCCCGGGGGCTGACAGGGGAGACTCTGGAGCAGAAGACCCCTGAGTGTGCGCTGGGGCACCTCAGGATTTTAAGTGGGGGTTCCCAGTTCGCAGAGGGAGGGTGGGTCTGGGCGGCCTGCAGTGGGGAGGGGGCCCCAGATCGCCCTGACCTGGTGCAGGGGCTCTGCCCTGAGTGAGGGCCGGGGAAGAGGCGCTGGCCGGCCGGTGCTCCTGGGCTAGGTCTTGCCACTGCCTCCTCGCTCAGCAGGAGGAGATTCTGGGGGCCCCATCCCAAGGGGTCCCCCGTTGTCCCCGCGGATCCGGAGTTGGGGTGCTCTCCCTTGTCCCAGGGGGCCACTCTGGGTGTCCCAGGAAAATGCCTGGGGGAGTCCTGAGAGCTCGCAGTTATAGATCCCCGGAGCCTGTGAGGGACGCCAGCCTCAAGACAGCGCCCCCCTCCCGGCGTGACACAGACCCCGGCCTCACCTCTTCGGTTCGTCTGCACGTAGAGATCGATGCGTGCAGGAGCCCGGCAGAGCCTGGGGACACGGTGCTGGAAGTGGGGAGCTGCCCCCCCAGGCCCAGCCGGGGTGGGAGGGACCCCATCGCTGTGCGCGGGCTTTGTTCCTTTCAGCGGCGTCAGTGGGAAACGGCCAGGCTGAGGAGAGTTGGCAGTGGCCCCAGCAGGGGACATGGGAATGGGGTGGCAGGGAGGACATGGGGGTGAGGGGACTGGCTGCACTGTGGGACCCCGGAACCCCACAGCCTCAGCGCTCCTGGGCATTCCCAAAGAGAAGGCCTCTGGCCCAGGAAGTGGGGCTTTGTGTGTCTGCAGGAAGGGAGGGCAGGCGCCCGCGGGCTGGGGTCCCTGGGCATCCGGTACGATCGCTCGGTGTCTCTGTCGGAAAACTTGTGCCAGGAGGCCACATCACCAGGTGGCCAAACGGTGTGTGCTTGTGGGTCACGGAGGCCATATGAGTCCGTGCCAGGCTGTGCCAGGGGCTGGCTTGGCCGCAGTCGGTCCGCCGAGGGGCTTGGGGAGGCAGAGACCTCAGGGCCCAAGCCTTTGTGTAGAGGATGTGCCGCCTGCCGCTCCGATGCCCGCGTTGTGCTCTTTGTTACTGTCACTGTGAATCTGTGCATCTCCCGGGTCTGTGTCCGGTTGTGTGGCTGCGTGTGTGTGCGTGTGTGCGTGTGTGTGTGTGTGTGTGCGCGCGTGTGTGCGCGTGTGCGTGCGTGCGTCTGTGTGTGTGGAAGAAGTGGTCTCCATGCGGCTGGCAGGCAGCGCGGACCTGAGTGTGGACGGGGGCGTGGGGTGTGATCTGTGTGCAAACTTGGGGGGCCTGCTGTGGGCTGGGTCGAGGGCCCCACAGGGGCCTGGCTTCCCCTGTCCTCCAAGGACTTCCACATCCACGCCCAGGCTCACACACATGCCCCATCTCCCACCCCTGGTGTGTGCGGAGCCCTTGTCAGGGCACGCTTGGACCTGCACACTCAGACACCACACTGGGTCCTTTCCATCTCCCTTGTGCACGGGGCTGTCCAGAGCTGGTGCTCACACACAGCCAGTGTCCACGCACCCCAGCACCCAGCCGCAGTCACAGACACGCCAGACACCCAGCTCCCCCATCGGGGTCCACACAGCCTCATGCACATCCAGTCCTCCCCTCCCCCAGCGCCCTGCAGGACCCTGCTTGCATATGCATGAGGCTCATGCATCATTCATGAGGGGACGGCCCCAGACAGCTGTGTAAATGCCCACCTCTGGCGGCCCTGGGGAGGAGGTATTTTAAGAAGGGTGTGGGTGTGTGCGGGTGCGATTGGAAGGCGGGGAGCGGGTGCACAGGGGAGTGTGCACCTGAAGCTGTCACCATGTTGGACCTCCGCGGTGTATTTTTAGTGTGTACACGAGGCTTTGTGTACAAAGAGCTGTTTTTAAATTTAGCGTGTCTAGGGCTTTACAGGTCTTAGTTCACTGCATCCTCACGGTGCCTTCAGGAGATACGTGTTGGGCGATCCTGCGTGTACAGATGGGTAAACCGAGGCACGGAGTGTGTGCGAGCCTGCCTGGGCTCAGGGACCTGTAAGGAGTACAGACAGGGCTTGCGGCCAGGTCATCTGGATGGAACCCGAGCACGTGAACCTCGTGTGTGTGTGAGAGGGGAGGGAATTTGATAGTTTTCTGACCTTGCTAGGACAGCCCGGCCATCGGGGTACTTACTGCACACTTGTTTGGTCTCCAAGGAGGGGAAATGCAGAGTCTGGGATGGAGACAGAAATTGCTGGGGTTTGCAAGAGGCCTCGACTTCTGCCCGGCTGTGCACCCTGAGGCGAAGCGCTACCCTCTCTGAGCCCCGAGGCACTTCGAGCAGACGGGAGCCGGGCCTGAACAGCCGGGCAGGGCAGCCGCCGGTCACCGTCCGGTTCAGCACCACGGACAGGGCCCGGCCGGCCTCTCGGCGGGGGGCCTCTGGGAGCCGGCGGGGAAGGCGGGGAGGCCCAGCCACTACCCCCCAAATCCGGCCTTCCAAGACTCCACCCACAACCCTGTCCCGGAGCTGTTTTGTAAATAGGGGTGTGGTGCGAGGGCTGGTTTGTGGGTGACATCCTAATTTCCCTCTGCGCCCGCCTCCTGAGCCCTGGCAAGCCGTGGGGGTCCACAGGGGTGGGAGGCTTGGGGGAGGCTTGGGGCAGGCCGCCACCCTGAGGTGTTTGGTCTCCGGGAGAACATGCCTTCTGGCAGGGCAGCGCCGTGCCCGCTCTGTGCCTGCCGTGGACAGAGCTCACAGGAAGCGCTCTGTGCTGCCCACTTTGTGCCTTTGAACCACACGCAGCCCCACGGAGGCTGGACCCAGCCTGCGGGGGCGACGAGCAGCGCACCAGGCTGGCAGAAGCCAGGGGAGGGGTGCCGCGGGCAGGGGTGAGGCCCCTTCCTCCGGCTGGGACTTGGCAGTTCCTCAAATACCCCAGAAACCAAGAATAGAATCTTGGTGACGACCAAATCCTGGAACTGCAGCTGAGAATCGTGTCAGTCAGCAAACCCAGATGAAAGGGTGCCTTGACAGCCTGTCTGCCACCCAGCCTGGGGGCTCGGGAGCAGCAGGGACCGAGCTGGCTGCTGCCCCTGGGAGCCCCGCCTGGTAGGGGAGGCTGACTCCAGAAATGCATTGCAGTCTTGCCCGTTAAGCTCAATAATAATATTAGCAACAGCTAAAATGCACTTCTTCACGGCAGGCAGTTCAGGCACTTTATATATTTATTGGCTCATCTGTCCCTTCCAAGCCTCTGTGCTATCCCCATCTGACCCACAAAGGAAGGGCAGCCCAGAGAGGTTGAGCTACTTGCCCAAGGTGACACAGCAAGGGACAGGCAGACAGCCAAATCTGGGTCTGATTACAGTTCGCTGCCTAGGTTCTGAAGGCAGGTGGCTCTGGGTTCAAATCTAGCCTTAGTGTTTTCTCTCTGTCTCTCCCTGTCTCTGTCTCTGTCTGTCTCTATGCCTCTGTGTCTGTCTGTGTCTGTCTGTCTCTGTCTGTCTATGTCTGCATGTGCCTCTATCTTTGTCTCTGTCTCTGACCTTGGGTGTCCAACTGGCAGCTCAGAGCGCCGGCTTCTGAACCGCGGAGTGGAGGGATTTAGCCCTGAGACCTTGGGAGGCTCCGCTGTGACTCATTCTCCCTCCCTGTGCATTTCTTCCAGCTGCAGGATGGGGGCCACATCTGTCTGGGCCTTGGGCCTCCTGGTGCTACCAATGCTGCTGGTGGTGGCTGGGGACCAGGGTGAGTTGATTGGGGGGGTACTTTTCACTCTGCAGCCACTGCTGGGGGGCTGGGGGATGACAAGATAGGGATTTTTCATCCCGATGCTTTCTCCTGCTGCTCCTCTGCCTCAGTGTAGAGAATGAAACAACAATAGATGAAAAAGGTCTTTGAACAGTCAGAGGAGAACAAGATACCTGAGAGGTTATTTTTAGGCATTACCGGCAGAGCTGGAGGTTCCCACCTCTCACTGTTTTGCTGAAATGAACTAAAAAGAGAGAAAGGGGAGCAGTGTGGAGATTGATTACTGATGCCTGCCACGGGTGGGGCAACGAAGATGGAGATCCGTGCGCCTCTCCTGGATTTCCAGGAGCTTGAGAAATACCTCTGGGTGACTGTAGACAAGTTCAGGCACCTTTCTGAGCCGTCGTGTCCTCTGTTCCCCCAAAAGAAGACAGACATGGCTATCTCCGCAGATGGTTGTGAGCCTGGAATGCACGGATTCCTGTAAAGTAGGGATTCCGCGTGTACCACTTCCCTTCCCATGGTGGCCTGCTACTCAGGCCCAGAGAGAGACAGGGACTTTCCATGGCCACACAGCAAGTCAGGGATGGGTCACATCATCTCAGTCTTGGCCGGGTGTACCGGTGCATGCCTTTAACCCTGGATCGGTGGCACCGCAGTGTCCCCTGGTGGTGCCTGCCTCTGAGTCAAGCTCCTGCCTTCTCCACCCAGGGACGCAGGACGCCACCGTGGCCGTCGCCGAGAAGGGGCTGCGCCTGCAGAAGGTGGGCTCGGGATCAGTGTGGGCTGCGCTGGCAGAGCTGGTGGCCCTGCCCTGTCTCTTCACCTTGCAGCCTCGGGCAGGGGCGGCCAGGGACAGCCCCCGGGTCAAGTGGACCAAGGTGCGGACTGCGTCGGGCCAGCGACAGGACGTACCCATCTTGGTGGCCAAGGACAACGTGGTGCGGGTAGCTAAGGCCTGGCAAGGACGCGTGTCACTGCCCGCCTACCCCCAACACCGAGCCAATGCCACGCTGCTGCTGGGGCCCCTGAGGGCCAGCGACTCCGGGCTGTACCGCTGCCAGGTGGTGAGGGGCATCGAGGACGAACAGGACCTGTTGCCTCTGGAGGTGACGGGTCAGTTGCGGGGAGGGGAGGGCTGTGGGGGGGGGTGGTCTCTCTGTGGTTCAGGGAGAAAACAGGAGAGGATTTAGAAAATAAAGACAAGAGAGGGTAGCCGGGGTCAGGTGGAGTTACCTCCTGCCTGGTGAGCAAGAGGACTGCCCCCAAACAGAAAAGCCTTTATTTATACCCTGGAGAGGTGGGTTAACTTTTTGTCTCGCTGCCAGCAACCAGTTAGCAAGTTACAAAGGCTTGTTTCCTCCGAGGGCCTTGTTTCCTCCGAGGAGCTCTGTATTCTCAGGCTGGCTTCATCCTGCACATGTTCTTATTTTCCAGCTTCAGCGGCTCCCAGAGAGGGCCGTGACTGGGGGGTGGGAGCACTGAGCCCCCCACAGAGTGTCCCACAGAAATTACTCCTTCTAGCCAGGCTTGCCGGGTATACTGCTTGTCCCCGCACTCTGGGAGGCTGAGGTAGGAAGAGCGAAAGTTCCAGTGCTGTGTGGGCAGATTTATGACTTAGCAACACCCTGTCTCAAGATTTAAAAATTTAGCCGGGCGTGGTGGCAAACACCCCTCTTAACCCCAGCACTCAGGAGGCTGAGGCAGGAGGACTGCCACAAGATCAAAGCCAGCCTGAGCTACATAGTGAGTTCCAGACCAGTCTGAACTGTGTAATGAGACACTGTCTCATGAGAGAGAGAGAGAGAGAGAGAGAGAGAGATTTAAAAATGTAGAAAAGGTGGCCTACGTGTCCATCAGCAGATGAATGGATAAAGAAAATGTAGCATTACACACAATGGAGTACTATTCAGCCTTAAAGAAGGATACATTTGAATCATGTGTAGGAAAATGGATACACTTGGCAACCATGTTAAGTGAAATGAACCAGACACATAAGCTTAAATATGGCATGGCTTCTCTTCTATGAGTCCAAGCATAAATAAAGAGCAGAGTAAAAGACAGATCATAGGAAGCAGAGACAGACCTTTTGCAAATGGAAGGGGACCGGACCGAGAGATGAAGGGAGGGAAGTGAGGGGAGGGGGAGCGGTAGGAAGCGTGAAGTGTGTTGTGCACGTTTAGCCACGCCCCGGGAGGCATGCGCCTATTATATGCTGCCAACGTGTACTAATAACAATCCCCAAATTTAAAAAGGGCCGGGGATGTAACTTAGTGTGGAGACCCTGGGTTCAACCCCTAGTACTGCTAGAAAAAGAAAAGAAAGAAAAAAGAAAGTGCTCTTTTCTACAGCCGCCCCCTAGAGTCCGGAAGGGACTCTCACGGCAACCGTCCTGTCCTCAACACGTTTCCTCTCAGCCAAGTGGGGGCAGTTGTGTGTGCAGGGCCCCCGACCCGCTGTATCTTGTCAGGATTTTGTAATCTGCGCATGCGCATGCGCGTGCCTGTGTGGTGCAGGAGCTGGAACTCAGGGTCTTCGCTTTAACCCTGCGCTGCACCCCCAGCGCCCTGCTCTTGTTTTGAGTTTTTGTTTTGTGGTTACCTTATTTTGCACAAGACAAAGAATAGTAGCTTTTGAATTAAAATGCAAACACAAATTTCCTTTTTTTTTTTTTCTTTTTGGCACCAGGAATCAAACTCATGACCTTGCACTTGTCAAGCAGGCACTGTGCCCCTGAGCTATATCACTGGCCCCAAATTTTCCTTTAAAATACATTTATCGGCTGGGTGTGGTGGTGCTTGCCTGTAATCCCAGCACTCAGGAGGCTGAGGCAGGAGGATCGCTGCAAGTTTGAAACGAGCCTAGGCTACAAAGTGAGCTCAAAGTCAGCCTGAACTGCACAGCGAGACCCTGTCTCAAAAAGACCAAAAAAAAAAATATATATATATAACCTTCTTAAAAGTGAGGCTATTTTTAAAAAGTCGATTAAAAATGTGTAGTAGAGCCGGGCGTGGTGGCGCACGCCTGTAAGCCCAGCACTGGGGAGGCTGAGGCAGGAGGATCGTTCTGAGTTCGAGACCAGCCTGGGCTACAAAGTGAGCTCAAGGCCAGCTAGAGCTGCATATCGAGACCTTGTCTCAAAAAGACCAAAAAAAAAAAAAAAAAAAAGTAGTAGATAAATCACAGTTCTCCGATATCTGTTTCAACAATGCCTTTATTAAATTCCTTCTGTCAAAATATCCTGGATAGTTTTTGTTTTCCTAACTGGTTAAGGAGGGGAAAAAATTTGCTTTTTGTTTTTGAGACAGGGTCTTGCTATGTAGTTCAGGCTGGACTTGAACTCACTATGTAGCCCAGGCTGGCCTAAAACGCACAGTGATCCTCTGGCCTCAGCCTCCTGAGTGCTTGGATGATAGGTGTGGGCCACCAGGAAGGAGGGAAAAATATTTAGTGATTAAAGTAAAGTCTAGAACGAGGTCTGGCATATACTAGGTGCTCAATACAGTTTTTGCACTTGATCTTAGCCAAAAGGCCGAGAAGCGATCAATACAGTTTTTGTTTGTTTATTTTGAGGCAGAGTCTTGCTGTGCAATTCTTGGTGGTCTTGAACGCATCATGTAGCCCAGGCGGACCTCAGACTTGCAGTGATCCTCCTGCCTCAGCCTCCCAAGGGCTGGGATGACAGGCATGGGCCACCTCTTCTCAGTTTATTCTTAGTTTTGACTGACACATAATGATTGTGTGTATTTATGGGGCAGAGTGTGATGTTTTGATACCTGTATCCACTGTGTAATGATCAAATCAGGGTAATTAGTCTATCGCTGAACATGTACCACTTGTGGTGACAGCATTCAGAAGCCTCCCTTCTAGCCAGGCATGGTGGTGCACACCTGTGATCTCAGCACTCAGGAGGCTGAGGCAGGAGGATCACTGTGAGTTCAAACCTAGCCTAGACTACATAGCAAGAGCCTGTCTTAAAAAAAAAAAAAAGAAAGAAAGAATAAAATAGTCTCATTTCTCCAAAGGAATAAACCTTGAAAAAGTTCATCAGAAGTGAAGGAAGTGAATCCGCCTAAAGTTTATTGTGTACCTACCCGGCAGCAGCCTGCTGCATGGGTCACACCCCCTCCCAGGGCCCTAGTGTGACAAGTTGGGGCAAAGTGCTCACTTCCTTTGTCTTGTTTAGGCACGTCCTTCATCTCTAAGTGAGAATTTAAAGCTGAATATGGTGGTGCATGCCTATAAGCCCAGCTACTTGGGAGGCCGAGGCAGGAGAATTCCAAGTTGAAGGCCAGCCTGGGCAACTTACTGAGACTCTCCCTCAGCTCCTGGGCTCTGGGAGAGCAGGTCCATCATGGTCAGGTGGGGAGGGGTGCCCTTGGGAGCCAGGTCTGTTCTGGAAGAGTCAGGCACGCATGGCTCCCCCTGCACAGGTGTCGTGTTCCACTACCGCGCTGCCCGAGACCGATACGCCCTGACCTTCGCCGAGGCCCAGGAGGCCTGCAGGCTCAGCTCTGCCACCATCGCGGCCCCGCGGCACCTGCAGGCCGCCTTCGAGGATGGCTTTGACAACTGCGACGCAGGCTGGCTTTCAGACCGCACTGTCCGGTGAGGGGGCGCCCACGGCGGGGAGATGAGCGCCAGCCCTGGGGATGGAGGTTTGGGGGGCTTCAGGAGCACACATCTCAGGGGCCCCCTGTACTGCCAGGTACCCCATCACCCAGTCCCGGCCCGGTTGCTATGGAGACCGCAGCAGCCTTCCAGGGGTACGCAGCTACGGGCGGCGAGACCCACAGGAGCTCTACGATGTGTACTGCTTTGCCCGCGAGCTAGGGGGTAAGTCCGGGGCCCGCAGGACCAGGCCACCACCTTCCCCTGTCTCGGCCCTCTCCCCTCCCCCATACGTCCCAAGGTTCCTTTTTGTTTTTGTTTTTGCAGATAGGGTTTTGTTATGTAGTCTAAGCTGGCCTTCCATTCACTACCTAGCCCAGGCTGGCCTTGAACTTACAGAGATCCTCCTGCCTCAGCCTCTGGAGTGCTGGGATCACAGGCGTGTGCCACCACACCGGCCTGTGCCCAAGTTCCTAAACCTGGCCCCCAGCTGAGCTGCAACCTAGACCTGTGCCCAGCCCTCCCAGGGCCTCCGTGCCCGCCCTGACCCTTGACCCCCTCTGCACCCCGATTTGCCCGGGTCTTGAGTTGCCCTACCAGCTAATGCCATGCGTCCTGACAGCAACAATGGGCAGTTGCACGCACAGGTGCCGCGGTGGCCACACCAGCCGGGCTGGGCCATCCAGAAAGGGCCTTGGGCTCTGGGGACACTCCTGATCCCTGCCGGCCCCTCCCCGCAGGCGAGGTCTTCTACGTGGGCCCGGCCCGCCGCCTAACCCTGGCGGGCGCGCGGGCGCAGTGTCGCCGCCAGGGCGCCTCACTGGCCTCAGTCGGACAGCTGCACCTGGCCTGGCACGAGGGTCTGGACCAGTGCGACCCGGGCTGGCTGGCCGACGGCAGCGTGCGGTACCCGATCCAGACGCCGCGCCGGCGCTGCGGGGGCCCCACCCCGGGCGTGCGCACCGTGTACCGCTTCGCCAACCGCACCGGCTTCCCCCCGCCCGCCGCGCGCTTCGACGCCTACTGCTTCCGAGGTGCGTGCCGCCACTCGAAGCCACGCCCTGGGCGTGTCTCCTTCTGGCCACGCCCCTGACGTGCGCTGGGTGGAGCCCCGCTCTAGGTGGGAGTTTATTTTTTATTTTTATTTTTTTTGGTTTTTGTTTTTTCTCCGGCACCGGGAACCGAACTCACAACCTTGCGCTTGCCAGGCAGGCGCTTTTGCCGCTGAGCTAAATCCCAAGCCCCTAGGTGGGAGTTTAAACCGAAGCCACGCCCCGCGACGTGTGCTTTGTGTAGGCCCCGCCCCCAGACTCTTGCAACGAAGGCCACGCCTCTGGGTGTGGCTTATCTGAGGCCACGCCCCTCGATGAAAAAGGCCACGCCCCTGGGAAGCTCTTTCTCTGGGAGCCCTGCCCTGGAGGATAGACAGGAGTGGGGGTTGCGGAGGTGGCTCTAAGGAGGTGTAGCTCTGGCGGGGGAGTGGGGCTTCCCTGAGGTTCTGAGGCTCAGTAGCTTAAAAACACTCGTGGAGCAGCAGATCGCACCTGGAGCCGCTCCATAGCCAAACTCCCTGACTCCCTGCCAAGGCAGAGGCGGTGCCTCGGTTGGCCTTGCCTCCCCGAGGCCAGCAGGGCACGGCAGAGTGGATCTGAGGTGAGACCTGGCTTTCTGGCGCGCAGCCTCGGAAGCTGCGAACCGCAGGCCCAAGGAGCAAGTCCCGGCCCTGCATGGATAAAAAGTATCCTGGGCGAGGACCACGACTGTGGGAGCCACCGGCCTGCAGTCGGGGTCCCCACAGGCTCCCCTGGCCCCGTGAGAGCCGGACAGTGTCCGGGCTCGCTGGGAGCCAGGCTCTGCCTCGGGTCCTCCTCCCGGCAGGCTGGCCTCGACCCTTTCCCGGGCAGCCCCTCAGCCTGACGCCGCCTCCCCGCGTTCTCCCTAGCTCATCACCCCACACCGCCGCACGGAGACCTGGAGAGCCCCTCCTCCGGGGATGAGGGGGAGATCCCGTCAGCAGAGGGGCCGCCAGGTCAGGAGCTGGAGCCCAGCCCAGGGGAGCAAGAGGTGGCTGTCCCTGACGCCCAGGAGCCTCTGCTGTCCAGCGGGGATGAAGCACCCCTCATCCCAGGAGAGGAGCACGCGCCTGAGAAGACGCCCCCCAGCCACCCCACTGAGGAAGCACAGCCGGCCCCCGGCCCCAGCAGCACAGAGATGGGGACCGGGGCAGGCACAGCGGCAACTTCGCGTGTGGAGGTGGCCTCCACGGGGCCCACGCCACGGAGGAGGGGGCGCTTCAAGGGGCTGAACGGGCGCCACTTCCAGCAGCAGGAGCCTGACGCCCTTGGGCCGGAGGGGACCACCACCCCGCCGCTGCCCCAGAGGGATGCTGGGAACCACGTGGAGCCCCCCTCTGTCACGGAGGCCTCGGGCAGCAGCTGGAGTGGGGGTCCCTGGGTCATTCTGACCAATGAGGTGAACGTTCTTGGTGCAGGTGAGTCTGGTGGGGGGCTCCTGGGGGCCCGGGGGCAGGGAAGGCAGACACAGCTGTCCTCAGGACAGGGGAGGGAGCCCCAAGTCCCAGATGCTCCTGACCTCAGCCAGCCCCAGAAGCCCCTTGGCCTCTGCCCAGGGGCCAGAGAGCAGTTCAAGAGCAGCTGTGACCCCATTGACATAATCACATTAGCGTGTTGATGCTGTTGCAGGTCCCCCTGGAGGCAGGAGCCCCCCAGAACCTTGGGTGTGGCCCCCAACTGAGGTCCCACCCAGCACCCCAGTACCCAGCGGGACGCTTGACCTGAAGCTGGAGGACACCGAGGCCCCCACTGTGCAGCCAGCAACCCCCTTGGCGCCCGCTGTCCCAGCCCCCGGTGCCGCAGTGGGCCCCAGTGCTGCCCCTGGGGAGCCGGCGACCGCGGTCTCGTCCCTGGACCTCCCCATCGTGGCCATGCTGCGTGCCCCCAAAATGAGTCTCCTGCCAACCTCTCCGCACATCCCCACTGAAGCCGTGCCCGTGGCCCTCCCCTCGCCAGCCTCCGAGAGTGGGGTACATTCCCTGCCCCCCTCCTGGGGCCCAACAGGACAGGGCGGGGAGACCCCTGGCGTGACGCTGAGCCACCACAGAGCAGGGAGTTTCATGATCCACTCCCAGGCAGCCACAGGCCCCCACGCTGGGGCCCACCCTCGCTCCCCTGGAGCAGACTTTGGAGAGACTGGGGTGACCAGCCCCCCTGAGCTCAGCACAGCTGAGCCCCCCAGCCCCAGCCAGTGGGCTTCTGAGGACGGGAATGTGGTGGCAGACCTTGTCTCCATGGGGCACACAGGCCCCGGTGGCATCCCGGGGTCTGGGTCTGGGGTCCCCGACCCAGCGGAAGGCCCTGCCTCCAGCCTGCGAGCCACTGCAGTGCCGGGCACCTGGTCCCCACCGCACAGCGACCGGCATGACACCAGCCCCGCATCAGCACCCTCAGGGAACCCTGAAGTCACCCCGAGTTTGGAGCCCAGGGCAGCTGCAGAGGAAGCAGCTACCGCGGGTCCCGGGGAGTCCCCAGCCACACCGGCCCCCCGTGAGGCTGGCAGTGTCCCGGTATCTGGGTCCCAGGTGGCTGGAGAAGCCCGGAGCCCCACCTCGCACCCTCCAGTGACTGCGGACACCAGCGTGCTGACATCGCTTGCACCCCTGGGCCAGGTGACCCAGGCTGTGGTCCTGGCCACGTCTGCATTGTCCTCTTCGAGCCCCCAGCCCCACCCAGAGCCAGAGGGCCAGCGGGTGGCTGAGGGGACACAGGCACCTTCAGCGCCTGCACCTCCAGGCGGCGGCCCCCTGCGGGAGCCAGGTCTTTCCTCTTGGACAACCGCCACATCCGCTGTGGACGAGGCTGCCTCAGTGTCCTCGGGGGAGCCCGGAGTGGCCTGGGATGCCCCCAGCACCCTGCTGCCTGTCCCCCTGGGCACGGAGGAGTCTGACATGGAGGTGCTGGCGGGAAGCCCAGGCCTGGAGGGCCTCTGGGAGGAGGCGGCGAGTGGAGACGAGCCAGCCCTGCCGGGGATGCCTGACAACGGGACTGCGGAGGACGGTAGGTTCCGGTCCGCACTCCAGCCTCAGTGGCCAGGGACTGTGGACCAGGGAGCGGCCGGGGGACCCCAGGGCAGAGAGGACGGGCGTTTGTACTGAGCTGCATCCCCAACCTTTTTCCTTTTTTTAATTTTTTTTTGTCTTTTTGAGACAGGGTCTCGCTATTCAGTTCAGGCTGGCCTTGAGCTCACTTTGTAGCCCAGGCTGGTCTCGAACTCGCAATGGTCCTCCTGCCTCAGCCTCCCAGAGTGCTGGGATTACAGGTGTGCGCCACTACACCTGGCTCTATTTTATTTTGAGGCAGGATCTCGATAAAGTACCCTGCCTGGGCTTGGACTTGTGAACGTCCTTTCTCAGCCTCCCCAGTAACGGGAATGACAGGTGTGCACCCCGGGCGTGGCTAGCTTGCTTCTCGCTGGAAAGCAGTGTCTCGGTGACAGAGACAGCAGATGCGCGCCCTGCCGCTCTGGGCCGTGTCCAGGGCCGGAGCCTCTCTCCCTGGATGCCAGGAGGCCAGCAGGCACAGGGCAGGGGCGCCTCTGTGAACAAAACGCTGTTCTATCTGCCCCCGCCTGCGCAGTTGGCTGGGTCCAAGCGCTGAACTAGAATGACCTTGGTACCCCTTCCAGTGCCCTTGTGAGGCAAGTTCTCACTGTACAGACGGGGAGACTGAGGCACAGGGAGGCCAGGTGGTGTGTGCAGCGCTGTGCCACAGGGAGTGGAGGCTGGAGTGTGAATACGGACTGTCTGAAAGCAGGGTCTCTGTGCCAGCTGCCGCGCCGGGCGATGCCAAGGCCCCTGGTGGGGCGGAGTTCCAGGGCGCGGAAGAGCCGGCTGGGAGGCGCCTGCGCAATGGCGCGGAGGGCGAGGGTGAGGGCCCAGGCGCACAGGGCTGAGCCCCGGGGACGCGGCCTGGCTGGCCTTGACCTCCGCCCCCATCTCGCTCCAGGCTAGCCGCATGGTGGAGGAGGCGGGCAGTGCCAGGGGACACCCAGCCGCCTCCCCACCCTCTGCCTGAGCTAAAATGCTAATGAAGCCAAAAATAAACGCAGCATCCGCGGGCGACTGAGTCACCGCCAGCCCGTGGGCAGGTGTTGCAGCGCAGGGCACCTGGCGGGCTCACGCGCGCGCACACACGTGCCTGGGCCGCACCAGGCCGCGGTGTCTCCGTGTCCCCGCACGCACGCCGCCCCTCAGGGTCAGGCCGCGGGTTCCCAGGTGGCCGCAGGCGGCCCAGCGCGGTGACTGGGGACTGCGTCCCTGTCCCGCAGAGTCGCGGCCACAGCAAACTCCGGAACCGGTCCAGGGGCAGATGCGCGCTGTCTGCACTCCCCCACAGATGGTGCTTCGACAGTGGAGCTGCGTGTGTTACTTTTATTTCATTTTAATTAACTTAAGCATGAATGGCTGTATGTAGTTGCCATAAGGAACTTCACTGCTCTGGGGAGAGAGATGGACAGAAAACAATAATCATAGTTTTAGAAGGACATCATATTGGAGCTGAGCGCGGTGGCACACGCTGTCATTCCAGCACTCTGGGAGGCTGAGGCGGGAGGATGGCAAGTTTAACCTCAGCCTGGGCACTTTAGTGAGACGCTGATACAAAATACAAAATCAAGCCGGGCGTGGTGGCGCACGCCTGTAATCCCAGCACTCGGGAGGCTGAGGCAGGAGGGTCGTTGCGAGTTTGAGGCCAGCCTGGGCTACAAAGTGAGCTCAAGGTCAGCCTGAACTGCATAGCGAGACCCTGTCTCAAAAAGACTAAAAAAAAAAAAAAAAAATCAAAAGGCCTGGGATGTAGCTCTTGCCTAGCGTGTGCAAAGCTCTGGTTGCATACTCAGGACTGCAAAAAGTACAAATTAAACTCTGAACTATTAAAAACGACAAAAGTGGAAAGAACAGAAGGGAAAAGGAAACCGTACGAAGGGGTGCGGTTGGGCAGAAGCCTTGGAAGCTGGGGCCTCGGAACATGACCAAGGCGGGGGAGGGGAGGGCGGAGATACGCGTGAAGTAGGGTGGGAGAGGCTTCCCAACAGCCGTGAAAGGGCCTGGGGCAGGACCCTGTGCGGGCATCTTGGAGAAAGGCTCCTGTGGCTGGAGGAGGGGTAAAGGAGGGGAGAAAGAGGAGGTGGCCGGGGAGATGTTGGGGGAGCTTGCACACACCCCGTGGACTGTGGTGTGGACCTCGGCTTTTCTTTTCTGGTAATGGGGAGCCATGGAGGTGTCTAGGCAGAGGAGGGAGTGACCTGACACAGGTTTGGGCTCCCTTGGATGGCTGTGGAAGGAACAGCCGGGGGGCGAGTGGAGCAGAGGCCAGGACACTAAGGGGAAAGTGCCTGCTTGACACCAGCTGAATTTCCCATGAATCTGCAGGCCTCGACAGAAAGGAAGTAAATTCCGCAGGATCAGGGCCAGACAGAGGCCTGGTTGCCCTCCTGGGCTCGTGTCCTGCTTGCTGTGTGACGCTGGATAAGCCCTTCACCTTCTCTGTGCCTCTGTTGTGGACCTCTCGTGGACGGACTGGGGGCCCTGCCAGAGTCCGCACGTCAATGCTGATAGATCCAGAAACGCCTTGGGGTCAGGGCTGGGAGAGAGGCATGAACTCTTTATTCTATTTATAGAGGAGGCAACAGAAATTCAGAGAAGCAACTTGCCAGGGGGCCTCTGGTGAGTGCCAGAACTGGATGGAGTCCGAACCAGGCCTCTCAGGCTGAAATGGGAGCTGTGACAGCCTCTCCACTGTATCATAACCACTAAGGTCACCTCAAAAGAGGTTGAGCCAACAGAATGAAGAAGGGGATTCCTTTAGTCTTTGCAGTTCTCTTCATACTCCCCCAATCTTGCACCCCGTGTGGCCCAAATTTTGAGAACATTGATGAGTAGGGCATGTCCAGAAGAGAATAAGTCAGACGGGGCATCGGGGAGAGTGCCTAAAGATAGAGGAAGACTGCGTTGTGGGCATCTTGGAGGGCACTGCAGAGAGGTGGTTTGAGGAGAGGGTTTCTGGGGGCTGAGGTCCTCACGCTACACCTCCACCTGCAGTGCCCTCTGACCCCTGTGAGAACAACCCTTGCTTGCACGGTGGGACCTGTAACACCAACGGCACCATGTATGGCTGCAGCTGTGACCAGGGCTTTGCTGGGGAGAACTGCGAGATTGGTGAGTGCTCCGGGCTCAGATTGGTTCATTTCCAGCCCCTTAAGATCTCCTCCTGTAGCCCCTTCCTTAGGACTAAGGTCAGAAAATGCTCTCATCTCTGCCAAGTGCGGCTGGGAAGGGACATGACCCTGACGCCTCGATGCCTGGGCCCTGGGGGTCCTGCCCTCCCCTGGCAGGGCCGGGACACGGGCACCACCACTACCCTAACTGTTGCTGCTTACTTCAGAGCCCAACAGAGAAGATTCTGCAGATTAAGAAATTAAAACAATAAATATAAATGACATAATTTCCTGAGCTGTAGACATCATCTCTTTGACTTCATAATCACACTGCTGATTCTAGAATGATCACTATAAATATAAAGGCCATAACTTCTTGAGCTCTGCTATTGCCGCTCCACTCACAATTACTCTTAAGAAGGCACAATTACTGTTACTGCTTTGTGAAAAGAGAAACAGTCTCAGAGAAGAGATGCAACTTGCCCGTTGTGCTGTGTGCTGGAGTCACTATCTACACAGGGATTGGTGGAGAGGAAATGGGCTTGGATGATTCTGGAGTCAGGAAGAACCTTCTGCCCCTCCTCCCTCACTCAGCACCATGGCTATCTTGCTCATTAACCCTAACTTATGTTAATTATGTGAGGCTCCACCCCCTGGCTGCAGACATTGGGCCATACATATGTGAAGGCTCCTGTCTGTCATGGATGACTCTTTCCCCCTGGTTCCCTGTGGGGGCTGGAGCCAAGGGGAGGCTGCCCTTTCACTTGTCCCCTCTGTCCCTGCCAGACATCGATGACTGTGTCTGCAGCCCCTGTGAGAACGGAGGCACCTGTATTGACGAGGTCAATAGCTTTGTCTGCCTCTGCCTCCCCAGCTACGGAGGTAGCCTGTGTGAGAAAGGTGAGTCTCCGCCGGGTCCCAGATCTCAGCCTCTGCTTCCACTGCTGTGAGTCCCACGGGAGGTAGAATTGTTTTTTGAAGAAAAGTTCGTACAACATAGAATCAGCCTTTTTTTAGCCGGGTGTGGTGGCGCACGCCTGTAATCCCAGCACTCGGGAGGCTGAGGCAGGAGGATCATTGTGAGTTCGAGACCAGCCTGG